TAAAAATTGAAGACTGAGATGATGGTTAGCTTTTTGCAAACCTACTATTAAAGAACTGGGAAAACAATACTGAAAAATCTATGGTTGCCTCTACTTTCTTTTATCTTAGTTAAATTACTATGTTATTAAAAATAAAAAACTAGAAATAAAACCCAAATTCTATTGTTGACTAAAGGAAACATGATCTCATTCCATTCCTGGTTTCATGCTTTATACCTATAGTATTCTGAAGTCAGGAAATATGTTTTTAAAAAGCCACTCATTTTAGTTATGACAAAATGTGAATAAAGGGGGCTATTTTATCTCCTCTACATCAAAACATGAATGGACTGTAATTGTTTCATCTGTGTCCTTGTGTGTATAGATGGGCATTAGTGTTGGATGAAAGGAGCATAATAATTTATGTAAGCCTGTAGAGAGGTCTGGAATGAAATACCTGAAAACCAGTCACCTCCAGCTCCAATCCATAATCTCTACAGAATTGGGTGGCTTAGCTCAATATTCTCTGAAGATATTTCTATTTGTGAGATGAAATTGAACTGCACTTACAAATTTGTCTTCTCTGATAAAAAGATTTTTTAGTGGTTTCTTTAAACTATGTAAGTGGTTTCCTTAATAGGCAACAAATCATAGGACACTGTCTATTATTCAAATATAGCCAGACTCTCGAGCCTTATTTTTGAGATGAAAAGCCTATGGATTGGGTGTTTTCAGCAGTTGTGGTGTCTGATCCTATTGATTTTGTAAAATAATAATAATAATAATAATAATAATAATAATAATAATAATTGACTAAAAGAGGATCCAAGATGGCTGTGCCCAGGTAAACACCTAGCTGCAGCCTCACACAACAATTTCAATAAAATACAACTAAAATATAAAATGGACATTACCCAGAACTACAGGAAAGTCGACTGACTGGAAATTCTACAACGAGAAGCAAGGAGAAAACCAGAAGGAAACGTGGAGGAGCTGGAAAAGCCCAAGGTACAGAAACGCCCGGCGCGCGGAGAGGACAGAGCCTGAGAGGAGGGAGGCCTAGTGCCTGGTGGGCGTTCCCTAGCGGGAAGGAGATAAAACTCCAACTATGCTGGGCCCCAGTTCCGACTGCTCTGAACCCCAGTTCTAGGCCAGAACCCGGGGACCCAGGCTCATCCATAGGGAGCTGAGCTATAAGGCAGAACCCCGGGGGAAGGGGCAAAAGGAGGTCCCGGAAGTGCGCACACTGTGCGCAGAGAAGGGACAGTCCGCAGTGCCGTGGGGTTGCCTGGCGGGAAGGAGACAGGGGCGCCAGACTGCTCTGAACGCCACCTCCAACTCCACTTCCAACTGAACTGAACCCCAATACCGGGCTCATTGGGGGAGAGCATAGACTGTTTGGCAGCAGGCGAAAATCGAGGGCACCTTTCTCTCAGAGGCGCTTGCAGCAAGTACTGAAAGACCCGCATAGGGCGGGGCTGACGGAAGCCAAGGCTGCAGGCTCCACCCTGAAACCCCACCCCACCTGTAGCTGCAAAATGCAACAATGAAATAGATCACAAATGAAAGAAATGGAGGACAAAAAGCGGCTGGATATAGAGTTCAAATCTACGCTTATAAGGTTTTTCAAGAATTTCCTAGAAAAGATGGATAAGACCTATGAGGATATGAAAAGAGATCAACTAGAATTAATAAGGAGTCAACAAGAAATGATAAGGGATCAACAAGAAATAAAGAATACATTGTCTGAAATAAAAAAAAAAATATATTATACAGAGTCCTAAAAACAGAATGGAAGATCGCAAGAATCAAGTCAAAGATTTGGAGCATAAAGAGCCAGAAGACACTCCTCCACAGAGGCTAGAAGGCAAGAGAATCCAGAAAATTGAAGATAATGTAAGAAACCTCTGGGACAACTTCAAGCGAACCAACATCAGAATTATGGGGGTCCCAGAAGATGAGAGAGAGCAAGATATTGAAAACATACTGAAAGAAATAGTGATAGAAAACTTACCCCACCTGGTGAAAGAATTAGACTTACAAGTCCAGGAAGCATACAGAACTCCAAACAAAAGGAATCCAAAGAGGACCACACCAAGACACATCATAATTAAAATCCCAAGAGCAAAAGACAAAGAGAGAATATTAAATGTTGCAAGAGCAAAGCAGGTAGTTACCTATAAAGGAGCACCTATACGATTGTCAGCTGACTTCTCAACAGAAACCATGCAGGCCAGACAGGAATGACAAGAAATATTCAAGGTGATGAATAGTAAGAACCTACAGCCAAAGATAATCTATCCAGCAAAGCTATCACTCAGAATCGAAGGTCAGATAAAGAGCTTCACTAATAAAATAAAATAAAAAGCTAAAGGAGTTCATCAACACCAAACCAGAATTAAATGAATTGCTGAAGGGGGTTCTTTCAGAAGAGAAAGTAAATAAAGATAAAAATTATGAACAACAAATACGTAACTATCAACAAGTGAATCTAAAAACCAAGGAAATTTTAAAAAATCTGATGAACAATATTAACTGTTGAATATAATAGAGTCAGAGGTATGGAAGGGGAGTGAACTGACGATTCTTGGGGAAAAGGGGAGAGGGGGATGTGGGAAGAGACTGAACATAGACTGTGCACCTATGGATGGAGACAATGGAGAGTGGGGAGGGGGCGGAGGGTGGGGTGGGAACCTGGTGGAGGAGAGCAATGGTGGGAGGGGGGGGAAGGAACATTTGTAATAATATGAACAATAAAAACTTATTAAAAAATAAAAATTAAAAATAATAATAATAATAATTGACTAAAAATTATTGATCCAGGAGCCAGTGTGGATAAATAATAGCTCACTTAAGCTATTATTTTATCATGTCTATAGTGATACGGCAACTCACTTCAAAACTGTGCAGTCTCTATTTTGTTTCATTGCCAAACCCTAACTACATATTTTCTATTACTCTCTAGTGGTAAACTCACATGGTAGGTTTTGTAGCAAGGACTTTACACTTTTCCCAAGAGAGATGGGTAAGGGTGGTGGGAGGTTGGAATATTTTAGAATATTAGTAAATATCAAAAAGTCCAAATATTTTGAAGAGGTTCTGCAAAAATATAACCTGTGATAATTATTTTTAATGAATATATTTCATCCTTTTATTTTTTAATTTTTTTTTAATTCTTACCTGAGGATATTTTTCTATTGGTTTTTAGAAAGAGTGGAAGGGAAGGGGAAAGACAGAGAGAGAGCAACATCAATGTGAGAGAGATACATTGATTGGTTGCCTCCTGCACACACCCCAACCAGGGCCAGGGATCAAGCCTGAAACCCAGTTACCTGTCCTTCACTGGAATCGAACCTGGGACCCTTCAGTATGAGGGTTGATGCTCTACCCACTGAGCAAAACTTGCCAGGGCATTAAAAATCTTACTGCACTTTTCAAAGGAGAATATAAGTTCCAAACTTTGGTTATTCATTCAGTTGATTGCCTTCAGCTCAGTGATGATTCTTTGTTCAAAACAGTGGAATAAAATTTCATCACATTTTTATATGATGTAACTCAGTGAAATGGAATAATAAAATAATGGACATTTATCATTTTATAGTTTTCTCACTGGTTATCAGTAGATTGTGACTTCATGTGTCTGGAATGAAATATCTTATTTACCTTATTTACCACTGTATCTCTAACATCTTGCCTGTTGCACAAAGTGAGTGCTCAATACATATTTAGTAAATATGTAAAAAAAAAAAAAAAAAAAAAAAAAAACTACTCTGTGGTGGAAGCAGAACAGATATTATTATTTTTCCCATTTTATAAGTGAATTGACATCACAGAAACATTTAGCCACTTGCTCAAGTTTATATAACCAGCAAGAGATGGTGCCAGGCCTTGAGCATAGTTCTTGAAACCCAAAAACCTGAGTTTTCCTTCAGATTCTTGTATATATGGTATAATTCTGATACTAACTGGTAAACCTCATAATCTCTCTGGACTTCATTTACTTTATCTATATATTAAGAGAAGGCATTATTTTGTGGCTCTGAGGTCCCACTTAGTTCAAATACTATGAATTTAATTTACAATCACATTCTATCTTCTGAGAGTTTTATATTCACCAAAGAAAAGATGAAGTCCAGAGAGTTCAGAACTGTGAGGTGACCCAAAGAAGGGAAGCCAAGGGCCACGATCACAGGCTCACTTCCTAACAGTGGGAAGAAACTTCAGACTAGACACTTACTCCTTTAAGAAGTCATTAAATTTGTTTTAAAGTTCGTTTAGGTTGTAAAGAGGCCCTGGGGAAATTCTCTCTGATTGTTAATGTGTTATGGATACTCTAGAAACTTTCTGGCAACAAAGTCCACATTTGATGACCTTACTTACACAGCTAGCTCAACACCCTTCTCACCATTTTCCACCTTGTGCTCCATGGCTGTAAGTTGGATGTAGCTTTTATAATGAATCCAGTGGAAACAGCTTCCTTTGCACATGTTACCAAGAATTTCAGGAATAGATATCAAACTTGGGTTTTATTTTTAAAAGAATTATTCTCCTCATCACACATAAATCTCCTTTATAGCAGATTTGTAAATATTAATCAAGTTGCAATTTGGAGTCTATTATTTTAAAGAAGTGATTAATCCCTATGTACTATAATAGACAGATTTATTATTTTCAAGCAAACCCAAATACAAACTGAAGGCCCTATGTAAACTAGTTCCTTTAATTTTCTTCAGCCAGTGTTCATTTAGAATTTATACAAATAGAAGATGTCGAGAATATTTAGTTTGTTATATCTGCCACAGTTAGTCTCCCCACCCCCAACAGAAGATGAAATCTGATTACAGGAGACTGAGCAATGAAAGCTCAATTGGAATTAGAGACAACTGTCTCTAAGGGTCAAACCTGGCAATACACAATGCAAAAAGAGTCCTTTTGAGCTGCACTCCTCTGCAGAATAAATAAAGTCCATTTATCAACACGGTTCCTAAATTAGACTCAAATCTCTGGCCATTGTCACTTACCGAAAATTTCGAACCACAAACCTCTGACCATTTCTAAGAGCTGCATTGTTCAACAGGATCCTGAAATTAAACAGCATCTTCTTTTGCTAGTGGAAAGGACGATTCTATGCGTCTGAAAATGCTTCACCAAAGTAGTCAGTGGGGTCCACTCAAAAGCTAAGAATGCTTTCGATTGCAGTGAAAGAGCAAAGGTAATATTATACTTCAACTACCTTATCAAATCCCTCTGTTTAGAGATATTGCAGGGCAGAGTTCAGGGGTATTTGAACTTTAAGCCAAGTTTTATCACCACTGCAGGGTTGTTTGGTTTTTGTTTTTGTTTTTTTAGAAAAAGTCCTGATTATTTTGGTGCCCAGACTTCTTATTTTTATAATATATTTATGCTGTCACATACTTATACAAAATTAATTGACAAGAACTCACTGAGCATGTAATATATGCAAGGCACTGAAGTGCTACCTGGTGTGAAGACACATATAAATAACTCATTCAGGAAAATGTGAATTGGCAGGGCCAAAACCCAGAGGTAGACATGACAGCCCTCAATATTTCTAGTGGTATCATCTTCCTATCTCTAATTCCAAGCATTTACATAAAAACAAATGGAAAGAAGTACAGAAAGAAGTGCCCTGGAAGCTTTTAGTTTTAACTTTATTTTATTTATTATTTATTTAATTTTTTTCATGGCAAGAAGCTGGAAGTCCCATTGTGTCTTGCACATAGCACGTCTTCAATAAATCAGTAGATGACTATTAATTATAGCAGGAACTCAGAATCAGTACAAGTGGGGAGGGTAATTCCATATGCTTCTCCCCTAGCATCCTCTCCATATCATTAAGGGGCCATTCAAAGCTTCACATTAATTCATCCACCTACACTTACAAATTGGATGTTTTCAAATCTATTCTTTGTGCCAAACTGGTTTGGCTCAGTGGATAGAGCGTCGGCCTGCGGACTGAAAGGTCTCAGGTTCGATTCCGGTCAAGGGCATGTACCTTGGTTGCGGGCACATGCTTAGTAGGGGGTGTGCAAGAGGCAGCTGATCGATGTTTCTCTCTCGTCAATGTTTCTAGCTCTCTATCCCTTTCTCTTCCTCTCTGTAAAAAATCAATAAAATGTTTTAAAAAACAAAAAAAATCTATTCTTTGTTAGATACTTGTTTAGGCTTGAATTTTGGAGGATGAAGATGATCTCATCTTTGCAGAATTTATAGTTCAATTAGGATGATAAGATTTGTAACTAAATATCCATAACAGGAGCCCATAGAAGAGGTCCAGAGGAAGTGCTACCACATCATAGGAAAGGGGAAATGCTTTAAGCTGGAAAGGGAAGGAGGCAGGGGAAGAGGGAAAGGGGTAGGAGCTGCCTCTTCTGGTCAATTTGTTCAACTTTAGCAAACTCAGATAAGTACTTGCTAGAAGTTTATGTAATACAAGAAAAATGTTATTTAAAAACCAACTATGGCCACTTCAAGGGTAGGGATGGTTGTGATATCATAATTAATATCATCAGGAAATAAATCCGAACAAGATTCCCTTCTACTTACAGAGGCTGGTGTGGGATAAAGAGCGAGAAAGACCAAAATTTCCAAACCTTTGCCAAGTCTCCTGCTCTGGAAAGAATATTTCAGGCAGTGGCAAGTGTTTGCAAAGGCATGGAGGTAAGAAGTTATACAGTAAATACTCTGATTGAGAGCACAGATTGATACTTTGCTTGAAAAGACCATTAAGCACTGTTCAAGAGGCAAAATTGGCCAGTTGTTGGATAGGATTCAGAGAACAAAATTAGTCTATGTAATACAGGGAAGGAAACTGAATGTTTGCAGGGAGACTGAGGGAGAAGAGGTCAAACTGCATGCTAATGTAAAGTCCATATATTCAGTCAACTGTGCTACTTACACAGACAACTCATGAGCAATGATGTTTGGGGGGAAATCAAAAAGTATCTGAAGTGTTGTGGTAAGGAATGTGGGCAGCACTTCTGAGATGTCAAAGCAATTTCACAAACCCCCATAATTCTATGAAGGTAGGCACTCACTCCACCAGAAGGATTAAAAATAAAACCTAAACCACCCATAACCCTCATAGATATTGGAAGAAAAGAGCTACTTCACAAGAGGGATGAGGTTAAAGGCAATTTCACTGAATCTCAAAATACATCTCAACTGAAATCTTTGTCACATGTGGAAAAAACACTTATTAAGATTTATCATTGATCCTCTATTCCATGACTCCTCTAATTCCTCTTCACCTGCCAGGTTTGCTCCCTACCTAGTTCCCTTTGTCCATCCAGACCTTCATTTACTCACATTTCTCTGCTGCAAACAAGTATGTAATCACGATAGGCTAGGTCTATATGATGGGTGGGCTCCAAGGAATATAGTGATAAATAGGAGTAATTAGTCCCTTCCCACATGGAATACCATTTGAAATGACTCCACAGCACAACTTCTGTATGTCTCCTCTGACCCCATACATTCTAACCAAGGTCTAGGGGCTTGTTCCCTGCTCCCTTGCTTCAGGCCCCAATGGGACCTCCAGCTTGGCTTACTCCTCATCCAGCTTCCAGCATCAGGAGTTAGAGTAGGGGTTAGATGGAGTTCTTGGAAAAGGTGGCACTAATCCTTGATGTACTGGGAAGAATTAGGAAATTGTCAAACTAGAGGGACCAACAAAGGGATATTACAAAAAAGGAAGGAACTTCAGAGTAGATCCAGAGGAAGGAACAAATAGGGTGTGTGTAGTACCAACAAATGATTCATAATTGGAAGTATAGATCAATGCCATCATTGACCACTTAAATGAGGCCAATGATGGTCAATTTGTCTATGTCTTATTCACATCCCCTTTGCATTGTCTTTCCCTACATAACTTCCTCTTCTTATGCAAGCAACCACAGCTGTCTACCTTTGGATAGCAACCACAGTGTCTACCTCATCCTTGTGTGGGCAACCATAGGGCATGTTTTACTCACTCTCCCAAAGATCTCCAGTGGAACTGGGCCTCAATTCCCCACAGTAGAAACCTGCTCATCAATGTGACCTGTATTGCCCTAGCTGGTTTGGCTCAGTGAATAGAGCATCGGCCTGTGGACTGAAAGGTCCCAGGTGCGATTCCTGGTCAAGAGCACATGCCTGGGTTGCAGGCTTGATCCCCAATGTGGGGCGTGCAGAAGGCATCCAATCAATGATCCTTTCATCATTGATGTTTATATCTCTCTCCCTCTTCCTTCCTCTATGACATTAATAAAAATATATTTTTTTAAATGTGCCTTGTATTAGCTATCTTCCCTTCATAGTGTCACTACCTCACTTCCCTACCAGTGCTTCTTTGGATTATCTTCCCAATAAACAATTTGAACTCAAATCAATGTCTGCTTCTATGGGAACTCAATCTTTTCCCAAGTTTACCTTCTCAACATTTTTTCTATGCTCCCTTGCTTCTTTTCTTATTCTCTTCTCTTAGGCCCTCTTAGCTCTGATTTGGTACCTGGAATTTCAGTGTCAACATCTTTGTCCCCTTATCATAAGGAACCCTCACTGTCATATTTAGTTCTGGTTACTGTGCAACTGGTGATGTGATGATAAATGTTTAATAACCAGCTCTTCAAAAAGAAAAAATGCTTTGATTTGCAGCATTGACTGATTTATCTTGTGTAAAAGTTCCTACCACGCAATGGTCAGCTTTAAGCTACCATAGTGACATTACTGAACACAGAGTTGAGAAGAGAGGTATAAGACTGGCTCTTGCAAGCCATTGTAAACTGGCTCAAGTACATCACTGACTATAACCTCGATCCAGAAAGGAGGATTTTCTCAAGATTCAAGAAGGAATATTGAAGTCAGATTGTTGAGGGCCTTAGAAAGCCATATTATGGAGTTACAAATTTAATCTATAGTCAAAGAAATATTAATAAAGTTTTAGGGGCAGACAAGGATATGTCATTATCTGCATTGTGTTTTCAAAGCACAAATAGAGCACCATTGTGTAAGAAGTACAGTGTGGAGAAAATGGAGTCAAAGAGATGCAAGATACTATATTATAAGGGCCTGAGCATATATTGGTACTGTAGAAATAGAAAGCAGGGGATGGATGCAAGAGAGATTTAGGGATTAGAATTCACCTATCTGAACAGTTAGTTGAATGTTGAAAAAAGGGAGATGGAAAAGTTAATGAGACTCCAGGATTTTTAAGTTTGTGCTATCACATTTGAGTCTAAAATTCCAAATAGCCAAATTGGGTGATAAAAACAATGTAAGTGTCCTGACATATAAAGCTTGTGATCATCATTATGGACTTGCAATATTTCCTTGAAATTGCTACTGTGTCTCCCTAGTGAAATCTAAGCACTGAAGAGAGAATCAATGTGATGTAAAGGAAAGAATTATGAGAAAGATGTTTGAAGATCAAATGTGACCTCTGGCTAAGTCACTAACTGATGATCAATTTGTCTAAGTCACTTGACTCCTCTAAGATCCTCAGAGTCCTTGTCTCTTCAACTGAAGATTTTATAAATGATCTATTACACTGCTTGGGAAACTTTAACATGCTCAACAAATGAAGTACAGTGTCTAAGAGCCTTAACGTGGCTATTGCCAAAGATCTATCGCCAATCTGAGCTCTGTACAAATAAGACATACTCATTCTAGTATGGCTGTTATTGAAGTGGGAAGCTCTGTTTAGCTCAGAATGTTTCTAATTACATAAGTACTTTTTATAGCTGCCTGTCTGAAGTCTTTAAGTCCCTGCAAAACCAAAGCATTTACCCTTTAGTTACAAGCTCTGTGCGATTGTTGCTGGTGTTCTATCTTTCACTGGATATGAACAAAGAAGCACATATTCCTGTCTGAGACCAGTAGCCATACTGTAATCATGAAGAGAATCAGCCTTAGAATGAAGCTATGGCTTGACAGAGTGGAAGAAGAAAGAAACCTTGGTCATTTATTACATCATTTAGTTGCAAAATCAACTAACCTCATGACTCTTCTAACCACTGGACACCTTATTATGTAAAATAAAATGTCCTTTTTATTTAAGTCATTCTGAATTGTGGTTTTTGTAATTTGCAACCAAATGCA